CCCTTAAATAAAGCAGATTTTTTTCATTTGTCGTGTTCTATTTTATATCTCATAAAAGACGCATTTCATCAGACTAGACTTTAGTATTTTACTTTTCTCGATCGGGGCGGGAGCCTACCCCTCTCTTTGGTACGCTCACTTTGCTTTTAACGTGTAGCCAATGGCACCGGCGCAGCTCACCGAGGAAGGATTAATTGATTATTTTCAAAAATACGGATTCCTGTCAAGCGACGACAAGAGTCTCTAAGGCAGGTCGACGCTTGAAGGGCGCGTTAATGGATTTTCAGAAATTTAATGAAGAGACCGTCGAACTGTTGAATAAACCCCTAAGCGAAATAATAGAAAATACCTTCATTGTCGCGGGATGGAAAAAAAAACGGTTTCAAAGTGCAGGTGGCGTACGGTTATCAGGCTAGAGCGGTGGCCGCTAAAGTTTTCAACGTTTGGAGGGATGTGTCAAATTTAGAATTTTTTTTCTATCACTTAAATCCAGATGTTATGATTTTATTTGCTGATAAATTCACCATTCACAAACAAAGAGCAAGACGCTGAGGAATCGGACCCGGCACTTTTGATTTCGACAGAAGGGGCAACGCGTTGGGACACGCATTTTATCCCAACCGACAAAAAAAGTGAGTGGAAATCCATTTCGATAGTTCGGAAAAATGGTACTACGACTTGGATGTGCCCGCGTCCACGGGACAGACAAGCTTGTATTATTACACGAAGTTGGTCATAGTTTGGCTTGGCGGCATAGCACCGATCCCAATTCCGTTATGTTTCCTTGATATTGCGATATTGCTTGTCTTCAGAGGATATACGGTAAAAAAACAAGAACAATAGCAAATGCACTTGTGAAGACAACCAAGAAAAGCGATCCTGACAAAATTTTTGGTCTCGTTGAACCACCACTTGTATCTGTTTCGCGACAAATGGGTTTGGATGATAAGGTTAGGCGATAAAATCTATTGGAAGCAAAAACTGATATCCGATTATGTTCCCGCTTTCGTCCCTATATCGCACATCCAGACTAATGGGACGATTTTTAGCCATCGGCGATAATTTTAAGATTTGGAATGCAAAGCGGTCGACAAAGCCTCCAGCAACTAAGTATTCCCGCGGGCAAAATAGTTAACGCTATTTTCAACACTTATAACGGTCGAACATATATATTTGATGAGTGCTCTTTGATTACAACAGAATTCTGTTTCATTCCCGAACTCTTTCCGGGGGTACCGGAAAAACTATAGCGCATAGTGCGTTTCGATTTACCATCGGTGATTTGTATTTTTTCAAAGGACACACGTATTACGAGTACAGTGCATTTCTGAATAAACCTACAAAAGTCGGTGACACGGGCTTGAGTTCAGTAAGAATCCTACCAAGAGCATTTTTAAGCAGATTAGGAATTTGCTAACAAAATTTGGTGATAATTAATAGGCGGATCTAAGAAATCTGAACACCGACGAACTCGCTCTAATTCCCGTACAATATTCGAGCACGTAAGGCCTTATGACTTTTTGAATATATGACATAAATTACCCATCGCAGATAATTGCAAACGGACTTGCTGTGTTTTATTTACTACAACAGACCCAATAGCAGAACGCATATCGACTCACCGGCACCTCCGCAGAATAAATGTCAGTTTTGTTTGAGTTTCAAAAACACTATTCGTAATTATTCCTATTCGTGATCGGACACATGACAGCCAATGGATCTGACGACGAAGGATAGGAACCTGCTTGGGACGACATTACAAAATGGTTCGATTTCCCGAAATTATAAAGTTCTTCTGGTTTTCTCCGATCACAATTATGCTGATCACGCAAAATGGCAAAGTATATCCATACCTTTAACCACAAACACCCAAAGACGACGACGACGAGGAGGTGTTTTCATTTTGATGTACCTGATTATTTCTTTATAGATAAGTCGTGCCTGTGTGCTCAGCAACATTTTTCCTGCAAGGTTCAATAATTAAATCCTTTATAAGGGCGAGGTCCGTATTGTCTCGGTCTAATAGTGCGTTCGTTCTGCTGTTGTTGTTGATTTTTAACTCCAATTCCTCCGTCGTCACTTGCAATATGGGTCTGTCATTAAAATGAAATTAAGACAACGATTATCAGCATGTTCAATGACAAATTCCTTCATTGTTGACAAAGTGGCTGCGGGGATTGAGAGGAAATTTGAAGAACAATTTAAAGCTCAAAAAGAAGAAATTATAGCCTTTAGAGACATAACCGAAAAGATCCAAAAGGAAAACATGGAGCTGCGCAAGTCTCTAGACTCACAGGAGCAGGCAATGCGCAACATCCAAGGGGTCAAAGTTGAAGATGGTGAAAATATCCGATCAAAGGTTCTACATTTATTTAGAAGCGAATTAAAGGTAAACCTTCAAGACGGTGATATAAAAAAGTGCCATCGGGTGTCTGATAAAAACCCAGGTGATAAACCGGAAACAGTCCTTGTGAGATTTTCATCGGACGCGGCGCCACTGTCGGTGTCGATAAACAAAAAATCTTTAAGTAGATCTGGTATATTCATCAAAGAAGATCTAACTAAAATGCGTCTGTCGTGGTTTAACAGTGCTATGCGTGAGTCTTCACTTTGATATTACCTGTTTTCAGCGCTTAGCTTTGTATACAAAACACGTATTATTATTATCATGGTTATATTAAACAATACGGCCTTTAAAATTGGACATTTAAATGTTCGTTCAAAAATTTTGATATTTTGCTTTTGTCCAAGACCAAAACATCAAATCCCCTAAATTATAATGTATTCGTATCACAAGTATTCTTCCTGTTTTGTCGCAGATATTTGTAAAAATTCTTTACTTTACGATTTTTGTACAAAATATAAATAGGGTTTGGTCCGTCGATAGCTTTGACTAATGAAGGGGATTACATTAATCAAGCTTTTGATAAAAAAATGAGTTCTGTTTTAGTGCTTTTAGACTTTTCGAAGGCATTCGATACAATTAGTCATGGGCTGTTGGTGGCTAAACTACGATACTACGGTTATTTAACTTTTAGATTTCAATCAATTCTTTCAAATGATAAATATTCGGAAAAGGTAGACATTCTATCCGGCGTCCCACAGTGTGTGTGAAACCTTGGTACTCTCTAACTACAATTATTGTGACTTTGTCTACGTGTTCAGATAGTACAGGGTGCATGTATTAGGTTTGTCAATGGTGTAACGAAATTTGATCATGTATCACACTTATGCAATGATATAAAATGGCTCAAAATGAATGAGCGAAGAATCCTGCATTCCTCAACATTTTTGTTTAAAGTAATAAATAAACCTAATTCATCAGTTTCCATAAAAAATCGCTTAATATTTCGTAACACTGTCCACAATATTAATATTAGAAATAATACCAAAATAGGGATGCCACATCATAACACTGCAATATTTCAGTGCTCATTTTCATACAATGCCGTAAAGTATTTCAACTTAATTTCAAACCAGTTTCTTGATATGTCATTACGAAATGTTATTAGATTAATTAATTTTCCTCCAATGTTGTAACCTGAATGCTGGATACTTAAATGTATATAAATTGTGTTTTCTGAATTTTTTTTTCACAGTGTATAATTACAACAATTTCCATAGATCAGTTTTTTATAGGATTAGCAAAGTATTGTTTAATTTCGTTTTATCTTCGTTTGGTTCAGTAGAATAGTCAAGAGCTAGACTTGAGGCAAACTTGGACAGGTAAGCTAATTATTTCTTTGTTATAACTTCGTCATATATTGTTCAAATAAAGTCATTTGTTATTATTATTATTTTTTTTTCCGAGGGATAACGCTGGGAATCTTACATCAGTCAAACGCTAGCTCTAGCGTGCTGACTGTCCCACATAATGGGAAGACCCGACGGGGATGCGCACCCGTCGGGAGTGCCGGATTCTTACCGGCTAAACCCAGCAAACCCTTCGTCTTCACCACCTAGCTGGGAACTGTTGTTCACATTACTTCCAGCTAGGGGGCGTGTCTGTGTCACGTGGCGTTCGTATCTGTCGTTCCTGTATTTCTCCGTGCAGTATCAATCAACGCGTCCACGTGTTGTCTCGTTAGTCTTCTAGGCAGCCGTCTGCCTTCTTTCTTAATAGTATGTCCCTTATGAACAAGGTCCCAGTTTTCCGTTATCGACGTCATCAGGTCAATCACGTTGTCTAGCGTAATCGGTCCAGTTAACGTTCTACCGTCCATCGTGAGCAGTCGAAAAACGTATGTTCCGCGTTGTCAGTTTCTCCGCAGTACTTACAGCATGGGCTCGTTACCTTACCCATGCGGCAGAGGTAATGCCGGAAGTATCCATGTCCGGAGAGGAACTGAGTGAGGTAAAAATTCACCTCACCCCCGTCCCTCTCCTTCCACAGTCGCACGTCTCCTCGTCCAAGTGGAGTCCGTGCCGTTAGTCCATCGAGTCTGCCAGTCGTCCATCGTCACGTTGCGTGCTTCTTTGGACGCCCTTGCCCTGCCCAGTTCCATACTACGCTCGTAGACCCTGTTTCACTCAAGAGCTAAGAGATCTATGGGAATCACACCGGCGATAACTAACACCGCCGATTCGGGGACTGTTCGATACGCGCACGCGATACGAAGAGCCCCCCGTCTTTGCAACGACAGCATGGCCTATCGGTATTTCTTTACTTCCATCGCGCCTCCCCATATCTCGGCTCCGTACAGGAGAATCGAGTGGGTTACTGTCATCAGTAGTTGTCGCGTCTTCTGTTTTGGTCCTCTCGTGTTTGCCATAAGGCGACTGAGTGCTGCAGTTTTTGAAGCTGCCTTGTCTATGACGCGCCTGATGTGCGACCAGAACGTCAGCATCGTATCCAGGTAAACACCGAGATACCTGACCTCGCCTCTGGTCGCCATCTGGGTCCCGCCTACTGTCATTTGCACATTCGTGTCAATGTGCTTTCATGTCAGGTACGTCAGTTCGGTCTTTTGTATGGCTAGGTCTAGCCCTGGTCCCCGTAACTAGTCTGTAATCTGTCCTAGAGCTCGATTCAGCCGGAGCTGCTCCCGACGACCGTCCCGTGCAACTATCACGATGACCACATCGTCCGCGTATGCTACTAGGTGCACTCCCGGTGCCAACGGGATTCTCAGGATCCCGTCGTAGTCATATTCTACAAGTCCGGGCCCAAGACCGAACCCTGCGCAATTCCAGCCGTCTCGTCCTTGTACCTGTCTCCCTTTGGTAGGTAAGTGTACGGTCTCGCATGTAGTCCTTCATAATGCGGCGGAGGTATGGAGGCAACCTGAAGGTAGTTGTTAGCTCCCCCACGATGTCTTTCCACCTCGCCGAATTGAAGACGTTTCTTACGTCGAGTGTTGCCAAGAGCACTATTGGCCTGTCTTTGTGGGGTTTTGTCTGCGCTCTGTCGAAAGCGTCCACCACGTTCCGTATCGCGTCTATGGTCGATCGGCCCTTCCTGAAGCCGTATTGCCTGTCGTGCAGGCCACCGGCATCCTGTACTGCCTTTTGGATTCGAGGCCGGAGTAGCAGCTCGAACAGCGTGCCCCGCGTGTTAAACAGGCAAAGCGGTCTATAGGAAGATGGTGAATCGGGGTCCAAACCTTTTTTTTTATATGAGGACCAATCGTGCCTTCTTTCATTCTTTGCTAAACAGGTCCACCCGCAAGCATGTATTGTACAGGGTGAGAAGCCACTCTGGGCATTTTCTGAGGCTACTACGCGCAGCACTTCTGCTGGGATGCCATCAGGGCCGGGGGCCTTTTTTGCCGCTAGACGAGGAACCGCCTCGCCGAGTTCCACTCCCGTGAACTCTGGCCCCGCTTTGTCTTCGTCATCGTCTTCCGGCCATTCCTCTTCAGGATGTGTCGGGAACAGTCCGTCAACAATTCTGCCCATGGTCTGTTCGTCTTTGACAACAGGTGGCTCGTTCATACCCAGTTTCTGAGTTACAATCTTATAACCCAGTCCTCAGGGGTCCCGGTTCACCTGGTCGATCACGTCTGTCCAGCATGCGTCCTGGCTTCTGTTGATTTCCCGTCTCAGTGTTTTGCACATTTGTTTGTATTCGTCGGAAGGCCCCAACGCCTTCCGACCTGCGCTGGGCGCGTTGTGCCCTTCGTCTGAGTCAGTGACATTCGCTTCGTAGGCGAGCAATTTCGTCTGTCCACCAGTATTTGGGTTCTTTGTCCTGTGGCGTCTGCTTCCTTGGCATGGAAGCGTCGCAGAGCCTTCTCAAGAGACCCGTCGTTGCTTCAACCAACTGCTCCGTATCCCTCCACCCCGCGATGGCCCCGGAAAGACCCGTGGCTGGATCAGGCTCGTTTCTTATATGTCTCAACAGTTTGTCGTGGTCTAGTTTCCGGACATTCAATCCTATTGGTCTAATTTGGGTCCGTCTCTGTGACCGTGGCGTCGTCCCGATGGTAAAGACGATATACTGGTGGTCGTAACCTATTTGAATTGATGTGCTCCTTAGATGGGCCTTAAAGTCTACGCTCAATAACAGACGGGTGCCTGATTCGATCCTCGGTAGTTCCAAAAAAAAGGTGAGATATCATTCTTCATATGGAACACATAATAAATTGATCTTAATAAGCCCGTTAGCTCGGAGTTAAAGTGGGCGTTCAACAACGGAGGAATTCCTGGTTTGATCCTTGGTAGGACAAAAAAGGAGAGTCATTAATCTAACACATAATTACCCATCGGCGATATGTGGTAGCGAAAAAAAATGAGTCATAACGGTTTTTTGAGGTTATGTTCGTCTGAACCCCCTTTGGTTATCTATTTGTGTTAGTCAGTCATTTAATGTTGGTGTTGGTGTGTTTGTCACACTGAGGCTTGGACCACACAATAACGTTCAGTGCTATGTCCGTCCAAAGTTGATCTTATAGGTATGAAAGAATGTACCCGAGCGAAAATAAGAATGCAAAAGGAAATGCGAGCTACGAAAAAAAGAATGTTAAAAAGAAGTTCTCGAAGTATCCTTCTCCCATCTCCAATCTTGATATATCTTTATAAATATATCTAACAAATCGGACGTCAGCTACATTTTGGAGGTTGAGTTGGAAATACCCGAAATGTTGCATGACAAATTTGTGAATGAACCTCCATATTCCGAACATCGCTGTTCTCCTGAATTCGAAAATCAAAAATTACCTAGCACCTTATACGTAATCCGAAACAGGCACCACAACTTGTTGCTATGTTTAAATGCCTATATCGACGTAAATGTTGCACTATGCCAGGCCGCCAAAAACGAGTTGAAAAAGAATTTGTTTAAATTGATGATTAATATTGTGTTTTCGAAAACGACGGAAAACATACCACAATTACTAAAAATCTAGTTTAGGTCAGATTAGGTTATTAACGTATTAGGTTAGATTTTCCAATTAACGAGTTTTATACAACGACACGGATTTTTTTGTATACGAGAAATTAGCCATAGATTTTGATACTTCGGACTATGCGGCGGATAATCCGTACGATATACCCAGAGTCAATGAAATGGTTCTGAATATGATGAAGGATCATGGACTCATTTTGTCTCATTTCATCGGAGCTAAGAAGTATGGTATAAAGTTATATAAAACACCCGAGGAAGAAGAGTTTGAAACATATAAATAATTTTTTTTTATTTTTCAATATGTTTTGGACATATTTATAATAACAATGGCCGGAATGTTGTAGGAAATGGTCAATTCGGGATATTCAAACAAGTCCGAAACTCAACAATATATTGACACTACAAAACGCAACACGAAAAAAATGAATACCAAAAATAAAATGTAACCACGCATCTCTTATTCTAACATAACCTTCTTCTTAACTAGACCCTAGTCTGCATTCGTTCCTTGGACCATAGATGTAGGATATATTTTATTGTTTAACGATGTCCAACATGCCCCCTCAATAAAATTATTCCTTACAAGGTTGTTATACATAACAAATAACACTCATTTTAGCTTTTCTATTCTAAACCTAAACCCAAACGTGAGGTTTTAAATTTTACGTATGGTAATGGTTTTGTAAATAAATCTGCTAGTTGATTTTCACTCTTAACTAATGTTACAGTTTCAATACCATCATCGATCTTTTCTTTGATAAAGTAAAACTTAACATCAATGTTTTTTAAAGAAACTTCCACAGGCTACTGTAATGCTTTTTACAAAACTTCGGGATTCCTCCTGCGTCGGTTGTTGCTTAGCCGAAATTGCTGACGTTTCGCCAATCATCCTGTTGGCGTCTTCTGAGCTTGACTGATGCGAGCCAGTTTCAGTCAAGCTCTGAAGAAGCCAACAGGATGATTGGCGAAACGTCGGCGATTTCGACTAAGCAAAAACCGACGCAGGAGGAATCCAGAAGTTTTGTAAAAAGCACTAAAAAGGCTTTGTTTAAAGAGTGAATTGTGTTATATAGATTCAATTTTTTAATACAACATTCTATTAAACCTAATCTCAAATTAATTTGTGCAAGCCTTAGACCGTTCATGCATCGCCTTTGATTTTAAGACGTAAAAGGGGGTTGAGCGAACAGGTGATAGATGAGGGTTATGAATGACCTTGAGGGGACCAGTTTTGCCGTTGAACGCCTCTAGCTATTCTGCTACGTTAGCCAAAATGATTTTATATCTGTCCTTAACAGCTTCAAAATTTCAAAAAATTAAGTCAACCTGGTTCTATTGAACAGGCTGTCAGAGACTTAACTTCGGATGTTGGCCAATAAAATTTTAATACCATTGTTCTCCTTCAGTTTGATTGACATATTGCTTTGCAATTTAACACAAATCTCTTCTAGTTGTTCAGTGAAAATGGTTATCTAATTCTTTTATGTATTTAGCAAATTCAGTGCATTCAGCTTTATTACTTTTCAAACGCCTCTGAAATTTTGAAAATTTTATTCCGAATTGTGCCAATGTGTAAAATTCTTACTCTTACAGCCTCAATAACTCGAGCCTATGTTATATTATACTGGTCTCTCTATTTTCGTTTTCGTTAAACTAGCCAAATCATTATTTCTACGTCACATTTGTAATACGATATTTCCGTAATGGTCGACTTTTGACCCAATATGAAAGTAACAAACTAACCATTACTGTCTTGTTCTCGTAATTAGACTAAGGGACAAGCGAAGTGGATATTTTACTTACTTACTTTAGTTTCAGCACTATTTACATACAATATCAATTAATTGTATAATTGATTAAAATCAATCAAATGCCCAATATCAATTCTGCCGTGTCACCTATGAGGGTATGTCCACACTGTACTAACGACACACTCAAAAATAGAACCCCCCTAAGCTTTTCGCATTTGTTTTGAACCATCCTGTTTAGCAAAATCAGGGACCATTGCTAATATCAAGCAAACCGTCACAGACATTTCTAAGGAAGAAAACGACCAAAGGAAAAATTATTAATGCACTTTTTATTTTGTTTAATTTTTGACAGATTTACTCTTCCGTTTTTAGCACAACTACCGCAACCAATCTAGGAGATTCTAGCGATTTTGTCAAAACACCTATTATTTTCAATATCTTTGATTTTGGTAATTTGGATTTTTTTGAATGCGCATTTTTTTTCTTTCCATTTAAAATTATTTTCTACCAAAAAGCATCTTTACTTAAAATGTAACATATATCATTTTTTGGTAAAAAACTCTTCTGCTCGGGTTTCTCATATTTCAAAGTAATTTATTGTTTCCAAATAGTGTGTCAAATTAATATATCCCATTTATTATTTGTTTAAAAAAAATGTTGATTGGGAAACTAAATGTTACGGTCTTTACCGAGACTTTTCGGATTTACGAACATTTTTTCGTAAAAAATCCCCGGTATTTAACATTTTATATTTTTGACGCTACTTCCGACAGCTGTAATTGTGTTATGCAAATGATTTTATGAAATTGTACAGTTATTTATCCAATACTTGTTATGAAGTTAGTTTAAATCGTTTAAACATAATGAGTAAAAATGCAAAACGTTAATTTTTCTTAAAAAAACAAATGAAGCTTCCTGTATATTATACTTTCATTATTAGCCCCCATTAATTCTCTTCCAATTTTACTAATCAAGCATTCCTTATACCTAAACTTAATATTTTTCATATTTTAACCAACAAACTAGGAAATAAATATTTGGCTTTCTTAAAGGCAAATGCAAGTTGGCGATTGTAGAGCGTTGTTTTTTTTAAAAATGCAGTAAATAAGCAAGGTTACTTAGACTTTTCAGAGCAGAGGTTGCAAAATATATTAAGAATTATTCCAAAAGTAGTGAGGCAGAGAATGAGGTTACTTGATGATGGAGCTTCACACCATGCCCATCAAGTTACAAATGTTTAAATAAAAAAATTATAAAACAAAAGAGGACATTTAACAGAGGATAAGAAAAGCCTTTCAAAGTGTTAATCATAAAATGCTAACGACCAATATTTTTCATTATTTATTATTATATTATTGTTACTTACTTACGCATAGAAAGAAGATGCTCAGCTAGATTTTGCCGCGTCAGTTTTTAATCACATAAAACTGTTGTTGCCTTTATTTGTTAATTAGTCAGTTGAATACGCTCTTGCGGTAAACTATTAATTTTGTAGTTTTGAAAAAGCGACATTCGGTTTCCTGTTAGAAAAGTGGCGCAGTCAATGAAAACTTAAGGTTATGTTCGGGTAGTACGATATAAGGTAATTTACTAATGTTTATATTATTAAGCCAAATACACGATCGTCTATGGATTGTCGTCTTGTAGAGGCGGTATCTTGTTCAATTTGAAAATTGTGGTCTTGAACAAATGTGTAAGGTGGGTCATTGTGTTCGGTTTCCTGTTCTAGATATTCGCAAAATTCTTCAGGGTTTTCGCCATGTTATGCAATTCTTCAAAAGTGAACTTCCTAGGTTGTTGTGGAAAAAATTTAAAATAGTCTGTTCTTGAATCAGAGGGTTGGTAAAATTTATTTGATAGGTTTCTAAAATTATTGCTGGTATTTTTTGTGGTGATACTCATTGGAGCAGGTTTTGGCAACGGTTTGTTTTGATTAGGGCGGAAAACATTTTAATTTTGGGGTTTCCCGAGAACTGGTGAGTTTGTAAATTACTTCAGCTGTTGCGGGTTGGCTTCTAAAGAGATTATTTGGCGTTTGACTATTAAAATTATAAAGAGCGTTTGGCCTAAAATTTGGTCTTACAGAAGAGTCTTGTAATATTTGGTTTGAATGTCTTACATTTTGCATCGGCGGTTTAGGTGCTTTAAAGTAATTTTGGAAGTATTGATTGTTGTATTCATCATTGACGAACTGCAAAGCTTCAGCAAGACTTGATGTACTCATACAACGTATGTTCGTACCTAGAGGCTCTTTAAGCCCTGATAAAAATATTTTTAAGGCAAGGTCTGTATATAAATTTCTTTTAAGAACTTTCGCAGCGTTCGTCTGTTCATGGTTATCAACGTACGAATAAAGAAGATTTAGAATATATACTACTTTATCATAAAATTGGTTGGGTAATTCGTTAGGTTGCTAGCGTAGCATAACTAAATCACGGTTGAGGCAGGCCTCATCACGTTGATCCGCGAAATTTCTTACTAGAGCGACTTTTAGATCTTGCCAAGTCGATACATTCTGTATATTTACTACTACTTTGGCTGTGCCAACTAATTTTCCAATAAAGCAATTAATTAAGTAAATATTTTCAAATATATTTGGATTAGTTTGATCGTAAAAAGCCGTTATAAGGCTATCACAAGTAGCAAGATATCTATTTAAATCATTTGCATTCCCATCAAAAGTAGGTATACAGTTTAAGTATTCTGGTTTAAAATTATTAGCCATATCTGTATATCAATTATTTCTTATACTGTTTTCGATAGAAATATTTTGAGTACTACTACTACGTGGGTTAGTTGAAACGATTTTTAAATCAGATAAAATATCGGCTAAGTCTTCTACAGACATTAAAAATTGCACTTACATAAAAAATAATGCGACTCTGGTCATTTTCTATAAGTCTCTCAGGTTGGCGATGTGATCCTACCAAATTTCTGCCTCCTTGCGAAACCGGAACGATTTGAGAACCAATTTCCGATGAGCTGCTGATGAAATGTCTCCGACAGGTTTTCGATAAATCTTCTTAAGTTACAATATTCCGATAAATCGTAGATACGAAAAGTCTACCGATCGATTCGACAAACTTCGGAATATCCTACTGACTGCGCCACTTTTCTAACAGGTAACCGAAAGTCGCTTTTTAAAAACTTTATTTTTCAAAACTACAAAACTAATAGTTTACCGCAAGAGCGTATTCAACTGACTAACAAATAAGCGCAACAATAGTTTTATGTGATTTAAAGCTTACGCGGCAAAATATAGCTGAGCATTCTCTTCCTATGGGTGTAGGGATGGGTCGTGACATAACTCATGATACTTCGATTGGTCACATCCGAATATATCACTCTGTAGTAGTGCTCGGTTACATCATCACTTGTACGTTCAAAAGAAAGGCAACGTTGCGTTCCTGCATCTCCGGTACTCAGTTTGCTCGCGGTATAGTGAAAAATAAGACCATAGTAAGGAAAGAGAGTAAAAAGGAAGCCAAAGACAAAGATATGTCTAGGTTAAGTTAAGTTAAGGAAAATGAAGAAAATTCAGGAATGCCTCAGAAAATACTAATCAAGTAAGTACCCCATCACAAAATAGAAATTTTATATTTTAGATAAACATCTACAGTACATGAGACAGATATTATCACAATGTATAATCCTAACTATCAGAAACATTGTTTTGCAAATACGGTTAAAAATCTAAAACAAACTAAACATAATAATTTTCCAAATACCGAAACAACAACAATTGCCTAAATTAAACGCAAATCATCTGAAAATAATTTAGTTTTTACCTGAGCAGATAAGGGCAATACCGTGATGGCTATGTGTAAGAATAATTATATAGAGAAAACAACACTATTTTTAGACCCAAATAAGTTCAAAATCCTCCCATCGGACCCAACAAATCTGTATCAGAAACAAATAAAAGATTGTATTAAGAAAAATAGTTTAGGGCGGGCCCATCCATCATAAGCCTCGCCTGCCTCATTCCCGGAGCAACTCTCCAGCCACCGCGGCCCGGTCTCTCGCCCAGGCTTCGAGAGCTCCCCGCCTCACACACGGGGCGATCCCCAAGCGGGGCTCTGGCCCTATATGCCTATGCGAGGAGCCCTCTCTGGCTAAGGCGTACGCTGCCTCATTGCGCCGGACACCGGTGTGACCCGGGACCCAGACCAACGTGACCTTCCTCTCCTCAGCCACTCTGCTCAGTACCCCTTTGCACTCCTGCTGTTCGAGCAGAAGAAGACCCTCCTGCTTCAGTGGTTGAGCCGAAGCACCTCTCTGGCCGCCATCAATAAAGCGAAAATTTTTGAAACACAGTGCAGTACTGACCCAGAGGGACCGACAAGCTCGATCCCGTTGTCTCGCAGTACGCTCCAGCTCCGGCCAGATCTCCCATTCTGGACCCGTAAGTGTACCAGACAAGTCCATCCCAGGAGCCGACTCTGCCCTCTCTCCACTCTTCCCTTGATGGGAAGAGAAAGGTCAATTTGTCAAAACAAGGTCGTCTCGGGGATCATGACGTCACTCGGGATGCTCATGACCCCGCGATCCCCGCGCCAGCCCTCTAAAATATCGTACGGACCTCGATTTAAGGTTTCCTCCCTCCAGAGCCCGCAACTCGCCAGCCTCACAGCTGTCCTGGCCGCCTCCATCTGTACCCGATCTGCCAGAGAGTTCAACACCAATAGAGCTTCTAGGGCCCTCGTGGGAGCCGTTCTCATGGCACCCGTTATGCAAAGGCAGACCAATCTCTGCAGTTTATCAAGAACTAGCCTTACTCCCGCTCTTTTGGTACCCGGTCACCATGCCACTGCCCCATACGTGAGCATAGGCACCGCCATGGTACCGTAGATCCACTGCATGATCTTCGGCCCAAGGCTCCAAGTACCCCTACCGCTTTCCGGCACGCTCACAGAGCTCCAAAGGCCGACCTGGTCCTTGATCTTATATGTTCCTGGAAGGTCAACTTATAACCCAACAGTTCCAAAATTTTATTCGTTAGTTAAACTTAAAATTCTTATCAATTAATAGAGAATATCAAATCCATAGAATTACCAGAAAAGTCGAAATTATTTTCATTTGATGTTCAAAATGTGTTTCCAAGTATACCACCAATAGAGACAATATATCTCGTAAAAGAAATGTTAACCCGCAATAAAATAAATCCTACCATAAAAGAAAAAATATTAGACACCCTTACAATAGGTCTAGACCAAAACTGCTTTGAATTCGATAACAGAATATTTAGTTCAAAAAAAGGTCTAATTATGGGAAATCCCCTAAGCCCTATGCCAGCCGAAATTTTTATGGACCATTTAGAATCAATTATACATCAACACCCTCTTGCCAAACAGTTTTTATTTTGGTATAGATACGTCGATGATGTTATCGCTTCTTTTGTAGGAACAGAAAGGCAATTACATAGTTTTCTGAATTATATAAATTCCTTACATAGCTCCATAAAATTTACCATGGAATTAGAAAATAATAATTCAATTAACTTCCTTGATTTAAAACTAACAAAAAGAGTGAAACATAAATTTCTCAATTTATCATAAACCCTCACATACAGACACAGTAATTCACAATAGTTCTAACCAGAAGATTACGACAAGGAATTAAATATAATTAAACAATTTGCATTGAACAACGGTTACGAACGCAATTTAATTGACTTCCTATTAAAAAAGAAACTATATAACAAGGCCATAAATCTAGTCTTTCCTAAACAATACTCTAATAAAACAAACAAAAATTTTAACACATTAACTTATTTTGGACAACCAAGTGAAATAATAGCTAAAAAATTTAGAAAAAATATTGCTTTTAAATGTAATAAAACGAATATACATAAGTTATATAAGTATACAAATTAACATGTCGATCTTGTCCAAAAATATACATAGGTCAGATAGGCAGAAGTTTCAAGAAACGGATTCAAGAACACAAAAGTTCATTCTCGAATTCTAAAAATGACTCTAATTATAGTAATCGTTTAATAGAAACAGGACATTCCTTCAATAACGATGTCAAAATATTACATAGTCAAGGCAAAAGCAAAAAACTTAACTTACTAGAAACAATAGAAATTAATAAACTGAAATATATAAGTTTGCAACTAAACAATCAAACAGACTTAAATAATTCTCCCCTCTTAAACCCTTAGATAAAGATTCTACCTACTGTATGGATAGTCTGTAATCGACCCTGTGATAGTTAGTTTAGAGGTTCTTTCTGAAGAAGGTCCAGTGTACCGAAACAATTGTCAAAGCAATAAACATGTGTGTGGTAATCTTTAAGCAAGTGTTTGTTTTTATTAAATTACAGTGTATAATATTTTCTGGTTTGGGTTTTCACTTCATGAATTATTTTAATCCAGCACAGTTACAGACTTGTGCTCACCGGAGGGTCTCATAAAAATTATTACGCATATTATTCCGTATTATATACGTGTACGTTAGTCACATAACACACAATCTGTGGTGTAACAAAAAAATTAATACGATGCTGTAATATGATTCACGTTTGTTTACCGTTGTGGGTATCTGTATGCTATAGTGCTCATACAATTTCAGGCATGGATTCAGATTCTGAATCAATATCTACTACAGATACTAAGACAGTCATCAAGCACCAATAATGGTGGTGAATCGCAACAACAGTATCGTCTGGAGGGGATGCAAAAGAGGTTTTCGGAGCAGAGGAAAAATCCTTAGGCCTAGATTTATGCGAAGACCTCGCGGTGAAGTGGATTGCGTATATATTTCATGATATAGACAAGGATACCAAGAATAACCTTTTGGAAAATTGTCAAATCTCAGGCAATTGCAGGCTTTTGCAAAGTCCGAAATTCAGCCCGGAAGGGTAATGCGTTTTTCGGCTGCAAATATCACTTGGAAAGGCTATCTCAACATTAGGCGAGAATATTAACAAATTAATTGGGAAAACATAAGAAAGTGAACAAAATTCATGCTTCAAGAGATTAGTTGAATCAGGAAAGTTATTTTGTCAAATTCGCTATGCGATATGAAATCATCGAAAATTATTATTAATCTCACATTTTAACACAAAAATCCAAAAAAAGGTGTTGAGTCAGACAGCTGACAATATGCTGTTTGGGGAACATTTTGGCGAAAAATGTAAAGATGCCAAGAATCTAGAAAATGCGGCAAAAATGCGGTGAATGTCTCGAAAACAACAAAGCGCGGACCACTCAAGAAACCAGACCGGAAATCAGAGGGCACCGAATATAACAACTTCAAGAAATACGACAAGGGGAGCAATAAGAGAGGGTGAACGAACTGAAAAAGACAATTATCCATGTTTGCAATATAGATACGAATACCGGCAGGATAAAAATATTTTTTGTCCAGTGGTTAAATATAGCAGCGAACAAATTTATCCTGAACTGGGTTAGTAACTATAAAATACCATTTATTTGTAAACCGAAACAAAATGGGGAATCCAGGTTGATACTAAATCTAAAACTACTAAATAAATTTCAGTAGTAAATGGTCAATACAGGAAATATTTAAGATTAAGTTTATCAGAATATTTTAACAATTCCATACTCTTCCTTTTGGATTTTGTACTGCTGCGTATGGTTTGTCAAAACTTTTGAGAACAGTCCTTAACCATCTAAGAGAAAGGCATTTCTTCTCCGTAAATTATTTAGATGATTTTTTACTTTAGATGATTTTTTACTAATAGGTAAAAATAAAGCCGATTGCGAGAATAACATCAGACACCTACAAGACTCTAACAACCCTCGGGTTGCTTATCAAGTGAGAAAAAAGTGTTCCTAAGCCAATAGAAAAAACTATTTTCTTAGAATTTGTTTTAAACACTGTAATTATGAACATACGCCCTACAGTAACTAAGTTTTACGAAAAACAAAGAATAAAAATAAGGGAGTTTTCACAATTTAAATGGGCTTTAATTTCAGTATGTCCAGCAATAAAATATAAGTTAAGTTTCTCATCGATAATGAACCTCGAAAAAGACTCTATTTGGAGACTTCTGGACATCGATAAGGCGGAACAGGATATTAAAAATGTAAACATATTAATATTCTAGAATTATATTATATATTATATTTTGGGTTACAATCATTCGCCAAATCCTTTTCGCATTGCAATATTTTACTAAAAGTAGATAAGAAAACCGCCATATATTACATTAATAAAATAGGAGGGGTCAAAAGCCCCCATCTTACTATGCACGAAAAATCTTGCAATGGTGCGACCAACGCATACAAAAACTCTAGAAATAGAAACATCGAAACAGAATACTCTTTTAAGGAGAAAATTGTAAGGAAAATTTGGACAGCCGGAGGTAGATCTTTTTCCAACCCATCCTGGTTTCCGAATACAGAAAGTTTTGCGGTTCACGCATTTACTTTAAACAGGAACAGGCTTAACGCATATATTTCCCGTTGCAGTCTTATCGAAGATATTAAATAAAATTCAAACCGATAGGACAAAGTGGATAGTTTTATTTTCTTTTTGGAAATCATGACCGTGGTTTCCAAAATTTTCCACCCAGTTATAAACAGGGTAGTGGATTTTTTACAAATAACGCCCATAATTTTTAAGTTGCGCACTTATTAATTGCGTTATCATCTGCACAAAGAGCCGAAATTAAAATTAGTAACACTTACGTATATTCAGAATGATTTAAAATAATTTTTACTACCGATTTATAAACGTCGATGCCAAATAAACCTCATGCTTGTTTTAGATTTAGAGTTTTTACCAACTCGAAAATTGAACGACTTCTGCGTTAATTCGATTTATTCAAAACACTTCAGCGATACTAAATTATAAAGACAGTTTATTACTTACTATTAGAAAACCTCATCAAAGAGCTACATTTCGAACAATTAGCCGCTGGATTAAAAAAGGATTTAGCTGGACAGGTGTCGACATCAACAAATATTAAAGTCATAGCACAAGACATGCAGCATCGCCTGCAAACACATTTCAAAAAATTTATAATAGGCATCCTTGCCCTGGAACTTTCGATACTTATCTAGAAAATATCCTTAAATGTGAATCTTAGAGAATACCGTTTTGTGATATGGTGGTATTCATTCAGTGTTGTATCATTTTTTTCGATATATTAAACCCGTATATCATTATATTTAATAATTAGAATTATTTGGATTTGTTATTATACACTTGTGTAAAAATAAATAAAACTGATCTGACATCGATTCATTTACAAGCCTCATACCACAGATCGCCCATAGACTTTAAACATCTACGAAGTGATATAGTGGGATGTGACCAATCGAAGTCTAATTTAGGATTAAACGACTTACCTGTACGAAAGTTCAGTCCAAATTATACGAGATTGGTCACATCCGAATATACTCCCACCTTTCATTTTACATGATAGAAGTCTCTCAATATCCCAGCCCAGGCGATCTCTATAGGTAGCAAAGTATAATGATGATAGAGTATCCGGGGTGCGGGGAGGCAACGTTGGGTTGCTTTTGAACGTGCGTGAGATGATGTAATAAAGTACAACTACAGAGTGATATATTCGGATGTAGCCAATTTGGTATAATTTGGATTGAACATCCTTACAGGTAAGTCGTTTAATCCACAATTATATTTGTATGTCGCGAATGCTATTATTTCAGTAATTCGTAGACTTTTTACGTTTAGGTAATATTTATTTCGTTCTTAACCTTCTGTAAAATTTTCGTAAGGTGAAA